GGGAAGGTCCTGATTATCTGTACTTTTGTTATCCCCCGCAAATTACAGCGGACGTCCATGTCCCCTGCCCAAAACCAATATTAGTGGGGTAGGGATCATTTATCAAACAACAAAAACAAAAAAAAATGGGCAAAGCAAGACAGCATTGAGCTGAACATGTTGTGGTGTTCAATCAGAATAGTGTTCTCCATGTTGCTCGGCTCAAAAGCATTCCCAAATTTCCAATCATTAGTTTACCCACCTGCAACAAAGAGAATATCCTAGCATCTAAGAGGTATCATAGTTTTGCGCCGCAGGATCCTTACAAAACATGTATCTCCCATCACGTTCGTACAATCACGGACTTGTTCATCTAGCCTACCCAAGAGTTTGTGCAGAAAGAGTGTTATACTATCAATTACAAACAAAAATACGCCCCACAATCACCCAAGAAGTCTCAGCTCAGCTGGAGTTGGTGCACCAGTCGTCACGGTCGTCAGGATCGATTCCACGTCACGGACGTCGGAGGAACTCCGAACTCGTCGACGTCGGGGGGGAGTAACCCAAGGACGTAACCCAAGGAGGGAGTAACTTCTTGGACGTCCATGGAAGCACCGAACTGGACCTTGGCGTGGAATCAAATGCGTAACCCAAGATCTTCACCAGCCTTCAGCAGACCTCTCCCTCTCCCAGTCCACTCCGACCTCCCCAATCTTCGCTCCACTCCAACCTCCCGGTCGGTATGGTTGCGACCTGGTCCGATCGACCCGATTGAGCCAGGTCCGAGTCCCAGGGGCCAGTTCTGACTTTGTACAACAGCAGCAGCGCCGCACACAATGAAGACCTTGGCGTGCGGTGCGCGCTCTCCTGCCTCGGGGTATGGTATGGTGTTGGTGGTGTAACAGGGTGTGCATGTGGCAGGTGGCAGGTGGCATGTGGCTTTTGGTTGCCGCTTTCAGGGGCGAAGGACCTGTGGGGTTTAGGCTGGGTGGTAGGATTGTCTCCCCAGTTTCTGGAAGTTCTGATGCTTGCCTTGGCAAAAAAGGCCTCATTAAATAGGCCCGAGAAGACTTTGGTGCTCTGGAAGACCTCCCAGAGTTTCTGTCCATGTTCACAAACAAGTGCCACAGGAGTATGTTAGCTAAGGCTAAAGCTAATGAATGAAGCCACCGTTGCCATAAATAGAAACTAGTATCACCTTCCTAAAGTTCCGCATCTCAACTGCAAGATGTTGAACTGTTGAACTTCTTCCGGTGGAATTTACAACGGGAACCTCGCAGAAATCATGAGAAAATCATGAGATGTTGCAGTCTTGGAGGGATGTTGCATGCTGCAGCTTCTTTTTTGAGCCAATGCTCCAAGACTGCTTCCTCAACTCTTGCTCAAAGAAAGCGTATCACTTCATCCCCAGACCCCAGACCAGTAAGCCCCACCGTGATGGCACCCAACAGACCCCGTTCCCCCAAAGGCGGCGACGGAGCGGCTCCTGCCGCGCTCCCACGAAGCAGAGAACGCTCCGTCGGTGGCGTCGCACGTCTCCCCTCATGCCCTCCCTCCGCCCCGGAGCGCGCGGGCCCAGCGCTCGCACGTTTTGGTCCCCAAGGGACCACGGGAGACGCAGCGGACGAAGGGCCGGGACCTCGGAGGGTTCGGTCGGTTCGGAGGGTTCGAAGGTCCCCAAGGTGGAGGAGAGAAAAAAGCCTGCTTTCACCTTCAGAATGGATGAGACAAGCAGATATCTAGGATATGGAGATGAAGGAAGCCATGGATGAGATCATGGACTTTTCAAGAAAACGCCCCGACAGCGACGGAACGGAGTCTTTCGCCCACCGACGGAACGGCGGCATCAGACTGAGGCGCGTCAGATCCTCCGTCTTCAAACAACAGACATTCGATACCGAGCATTGACCCCCCAGCCCCTCCCCCCCCACCCCACCCCATTAAAACATATTAAAACCATCGCGCACGGTTTAGTTTTAATTTGCATCAACACGTTCCTCTTGTATCGTTGAGCACCGTGTCTTCAAGTTGGGCATCGTCTTCGAAGATCCTTCGTCTTCGAACAACAGAAGGCATTCGATACCGTGATCCTTCCAATTCGTTTGGAAAGGAGTTCGAGAATGGCGTGGTTTCAGAGGTTTGATGGTGGCACAACATGTCTGAAAAAGGCAAATGGAGGCTCCAACCACCAAACTCCAACCGAATTGCTGCCATCTCTCCGCACGACGCACTGCACCGTCCTCTCTCCAATTCGCTCCAGGACGCTGCGTCCGCAGCACCAGGCCCATCGCCGACGCGCCGAAGTGCGCGAAGATCAAGGTGGCCATTCGCCGCGGACGGCGCCACGGCGCCGGAGGACGCGGGGCAACGCGGTGGAACCGGTGGGGGGGTTGTTTGGGCCGGGGAGGGGGGTGGGGGCTGAAATGATGTGGGTGGTTGGGTGGTTGAACTCCAGGTTTGGTCTGAGGTGGCTGAAAGTAAGTAGTCATGTCTCCGGATGAGTCCTTATAGATGGCTCTGGGTCAAAAAGTTCAAACGTTGGAGGGGGCTTTGACCCACACCAAGGCTTGTTTGAGTGGCTTATGGCTTAAGCGCTTGGTTTGCTGATCGGAATCACTGGATCTTTCACTGTGGGGTTGGTACCGCCCGGACGGTAGTCCGCCATGGCATATGAAGGGAAATATAATTGTAACATGCATGCGTCAACTATTTCTCTTATTTTTCTCCTCTGCTTGAGACTGAAATTGGCACCTCTGGGTCCAAATCGGAGTTTCTTCTCTTTGGAGACACAGATGGAATCCAACACAGAAATCATGTTGGTCTTTTGAGACACAAGATACCTTTCTCAGCAATCTTCCCAAAGACTTCTATGGTCTTCTCGCCCCAAGTCTAGATCTCCACCCATCGGTCCGAGAAAAGCGGAAAACAAGAATAAAATAAGAAACGAACAGCCCAATAAAAACAACAAAAAGCAGAAACGATCAGCAAAAGACAAAGAGTAATTGAAAAAAAAACAAAAAAAAACAAAGAACTCGGCCGACCGAAAAAAAAAAAAAAAAAAAGCACGAGGTGCCCCCGCCTCAGTCGCCGGTCCGGTCGGGGTCGTCTGCAGACCGGTCGTGCCCCGAGAACGCCTTGGAGCGCGCTTTCTCTCTAAAGAAAAAAGGGCAGATAGCTGTAACGAATGGAGGATATTGAGGGGGGTGCCCATTAAGTATCCATTGGATGTGACTCACAACCATTGCTTTCGAACTGCTGGTATAGTCTTCCAACTATTTTTAGCCGCTGTTCTCTGGTTTGGGGGCAGGATTTGGGGTGGGAGTGCTCTGTTGAAACACCTCTTTTTTTGGGAAAACCAGTTGATTCTCCTTCTTTGGGCCAAAGAAACTGGAAGGGTTGACCAGAAATCACCCACCAGGCCCCCTCCACCCAGAAGAGAAAGGATGGCTTTCTCGCAAAGGGCGCCACGTCATATGGCCTTTATGGGGCTTGATTCTCATAAAGATACATAAAGGCTCTTCTTCTTCCGCCCCCCTGTGCTCCCACTCCCTTCCCGTGGCTCTTGACCCATGTCAGAGGGACTTGCTAGACCTGCGCCTCACTCCCTGCACCTCACCTGACCTGCTGCATGGACCTGCTGCCATCGGATTCCTTTTTCGCGCGAGCCATGGTTGGCGGTGAAAACGGCCCGGCGCAAGGGGCGGTCATTTAAGCAGCTCCCGAGGTGGAATCAGGCAGGGCATGAGAAACGGGAAATGCATTTGATCGGAACCGAAAAACGGGATGCTCCTGCAGATGTCCTCCGGAAACATCTAATTTTTATGTGTGAGAGTAGAATAAAGTAGGCATACTCTCACCCAAACTAGCAGAGCAACCACCCAAGAAAAACATCTTCAAGACCCATCGGTTGCTTGCTGCGTTGCTTTGGGGGGAGTCTTCTTCCCTGAGCCTGTCAGAGACACGACAACATTCCTATACCCAGATAGTCTGTTCCTGAGTTGTGAGAAAGTGGGTGGAAGTGGGTTTGCTGGTTCACTGTGGAAGAATGATAAGCTGATTTCGTCCCAACCACAACTTCGGTGCATCGAACATGTCGCTCGATTTCAGGATTCGCTTTCGAACGAACCAGCCGACACATCACTGGAGTCGGGGAACTGAGGAACTCCACATCACTCAAAACCAGTGACAGGTATACGAGGTATATACCGTGGTTGATCGACCTCCCGCGGACCGAGGTCCAACAAAAGCGTTTCATGCGCTGCTGCGCTGCGCTCTGTTTCCAGGTTGAGTACCGGATCGGCCCACCCTGGAGCACCAGCGGGAGCGAATTCGGGAGAAAATCGGTGGAAAACCAGGGTCGATGGCCTCAGCACTCCGCTCACCTGGAGCCCTGTAGCTCTTGAAAAGGGTCGATGGCCTCAGCACTCCGCTCGGCGGTGTCTTGTCGAGCTCGGCGTGTCTGTCGTGTCCACCCGCGACGGCGGCGTTGGCGACCGCGGAGGTAGGGACTGGGGGGGGGTGAAGGTATGAACAAGCGAGACCGTGGACTGTCTAATTGTAGACTCTTGAGGACCATAAACCCCCCCTTTGAAGAGGATGTTATTCAAATGGGGGGGGTGTACTACATCAAGAGTCGACTACATCATTATATAAGTCTTTGGCGCTGGGAATGGGCCTGAGAAAAAGGTTCCAAGGTGTTTGAAACGGTCTGGCGTGCGTGGATCATGGCATAAGGGTACCTACAAGTACAGGTGGCCAAACGGACGTGTGGTCATGGTCCAACAAACTGTTTTGCGACCCGAACACAGGTGGTTTCTTGGGCACCAGACAAGCGTCACCAGGAAACACCTGCTGAAGGATCCAAGTAAAAGCTGCAGCTGACCCCTTTGGGTGTTCGGTTATAGTACATTCGGTTACTCTGCGACCCTCCACCTCTTGCAGAAGCCAAAAATTATTCCTCTCGCCCATGCACACGTGAATGCCAAGTCACGCGGTCACGCGAACACGAGCGTCTGGGCCTCTCAAGGCAAAGCCTCGTTCTTGATCTCCTTGCAAACCTCCGCATCTGAATCTTTTTCACCCCAAGGAGGTTGGGTGGTCGCTGGGTTTAGGCTTGATGTTAGCCTCAAAATCACTCAAACAGCAACTTTGTACTTCAAGCATCTTAAGTGCCGGACTCCGTATTGGAAGAAACCGTTTCTGGGTTGCGACGAGCAAAACGGGTTCATCTGACAGTAATGAGAGCGTCATCCTGAATACTCGTATAGATTGGAAATAGCCTCTGATGAAGAATCCTTCGTTCCAACATGCCCAGATCTGCTCCGAAATGTTCCGCAAGGAACTCTGCCCTTTCCCAATTCCAGCTACAACTTCAACAAATCCCTGTAAGAAGGAATCCCAACACATGTTGTGATCGAAGCCTCTTCGATCCATGGTACTGTTTTGTGTGGAAAAGTAAAAACACGTCTTCTTCCATCATCTTCCATCCTCTAACCCTACCCGTCCTACCCCCCTTCCACTTCTTCCGCTTCCGCTTCGTGACGTCGTAGGGCCTGATGATTGAAGTAGACTTTCATCCACTCCACGTTGCAATCGCTCATCTTCACCTCCGTCTGAGAGTAGGAAGCAGCTATACTTACAAGGCCGAGCTCGGCCGCTCGGCCACCTCTGTCATCTTCTTTCGGATCGCATGGGAACACAACGGTCAAACCAGGGCTGAGGTTGAAAGAAGAACACACAAAAACAAAAAAACGAATTCGTTCTCACCATCTAAGCTAAGCGAAGAAACAGCCCACATCTATCCGGGGGAACTTTCAACAAGCATTGTTTTGCCATAAGGATTTTAGACTACAGAACCAGGTCAATCATTTTACTGGGTCGAAGGCGAGGGCCGAGGGGGTTCCGGTCACCAGAGCTCGGCAGATCCTTCACGAAGCCGCAAGACGCAGATCTCAACCGCCCCGCCTCCGAATTGGTGGAGTTGTCCTGGCAGGACATCAAGTCTCCCATTCCCATCTTCACTCCCTAAAGCCTCGTCTAAGTCGGCCGCCCCCGCCGTTTCGAAGATGATGATGGTGGGTGGGTGCCAGGAGGGTCTCACCACCGAATCTGAGGATATGGGACAGGAGACCTTCGTTTTGGAAGGGTTGTTCTGCCATCTTCGGGCCATTAGGAGGGTCGTTCGTGCTTCTGTGCTACGGCGGGTCCAGCTGGCTCGGCTGGGTCTGCTGAACTCCGCGTGATGGGCGGAAGAGTCTTCCTTATGATAGATGCCAATTTCTGCCGAAGAGTTTGTAGGACCTCTTCGATCTCAAAAACCTGTTCACAGGAATGTCCCAAGGGATCCCAAGGGTGTATAATTCTCGTGAACTTGTTCACACAAGGGCCTGTTCTGCTCATGCCCGTTTGTTCGCAGCATCCTTAAGCATTTGAAATCCGATCCTTGCAGTTCCCACGAACTGTGCCAACTCCCTGCGAGCTTGCAGAACGCTCGGGCCGTCCTCGTTCCAGCTGCGGAACATGATCCCACCGTTCGGTTCCAGGATCATCTCAAACCGGAGGCTATCTCAGTTGATGGAAGCGACCCGACAAAAAGGGGACGAAGGGGAGTTCGTCAAAAGATGAAACCTATATGTAGAATGTAGTATAGAGTGTATTGTCAGCGCACTCTGGATATTCATTTGTTTCAAGTTTGGTTTGTTACAGGACTTGGACCGGGGCATGGACCGGGCAGCTTGGAGCCTCCCTGCCAACAAGGCAATGGAACATGTGTGGCAGTCTGATCTTCTGCCCCATGACACATTTTGTGGCGCACACCTGCTGCTACGTGCCTGTTTGATCCGTTTGAGCATCCCAAATGAACCCCCCCGCCCACAAGAATCACGACACTCCTTCGTCGTTCCTGAGTTCCAGGACCCAAGAATACAGTCACGTCAGTAGGATGTGGTAAACAGAATTTGATAGCTTCAATACATAGGCGTCATCTTCCAGAAAGGATGTCAAGAATCACTCACCATAATGGTGTCACATTTCTTAACATCTGTGCCATAGCTCATAGTACCTTTAATCCTCCAAACCATGTCCGCAGTTTTTTCTTGCTTCATCTTGGTCCCTGCACCCCGGTGCCTACACCCTTCGTCGGTTGAACAAAACCGATGGCTGCTGGCTTGTTGTTGTTTCTCACCGTCATGACGAGAAAGCGGACAGTTCCGGAGGTGTCCGGAGTCGGCTCAACTGCCAAGCTTCCAGAGTGGTATCCCTTCATCAAGTTCCCGTGGAGTTCATGGCGCTCAAAATGCATGGGAGGCTCCTGGGCGAAGAACCCGTGTGCTTTTGAGCGGGGAAAGAAGTACATCCCCTGACCTTTCCCTTGACCCGGTCAACGCAATGGTGAAAACCTAAGTCTAAGTCATCTGAATTTAGCAGAAATCTCGATAGCCTCTATAGCTGAACTGGTTCTTCAAAACATGACTCAAAGACACTTATATAGCTGTCTGAAGCCTCGAGGGGCCAACAAATGGATTTGCAAACGTGGTGATCAGTTCTTTGGCATCGTCTCAAAAAGGCACAGGAACTAGCACTGTACCCCAAAGGAAGTCTGTTGAAGACCTCAAAAATAGACACCCAAAGACCATGTTTGCAAATCGACTTGGCCATGCGCGTGCGGGACGATGTTCCGACCCTGCGGCGCTTCGCGCCGCTTCCATCGAGCACGTTCGTCTTTAGAGGGTGCTTTGGTTTCATTGGCACAGGATGGCACAGGCACCTGCTGGTGCCAGGGGTGGTCTCAGAATGAAGACACACCGAAGCTTCAACCTCAAGCTTCGTTCGCTGGAGGAACCCTCCGAAAGAATCCGAAAGACAGGTGACGGTTCTGCTGGATGGAATGACACCCCTCTAGACTTGGCTTCTGCCCTCCACCTCCAGCTCCATCTCGAGTCAAGGCACATGGTCCGCCAGCTGCTTGAACGCCCGATGCACCAAGGGCATCGACCGGAAGATCCGGGCCTCCTCCATGCTGCCTGCGCGAGGCGCAGGGAGGCCCTTTTTCGGAAGGATGAGGAGGGAGGACAACCCTGAAAAAGGATTCGGTTGGATGGAAGGAAGGGAAGGGAATTCCATATGTCTCAAAAAAGTTCGCAATGACCTGCAACATGGCCTGGAAATGATTGTGTGAAACACATCTGAACACATCGCTGATCAGAAAGTCCTTTTTGGGGGGAGTAGCTACACAGCTCCCTACTTCCTTTGTCACACTCAGATCCTGTGGACTCAACATGTTTGAAAAGCCCGCTGTGCCTGAAAGGCAAAAGAAAACATGAGACCTGGGCATCCAGCTTGAGCTGGCACAGTTCTTTCCACAGAAGTCATTCTGCTAGGAGTCCACATCAGGAAAACCCAACTGGATCTTACATTGATCTTTACCCTCCCAGAAGAATTGGTCCAGTCTCACCTCCAAAACTCTTCCAAAACGGTTCGGTCCTTCCACCAGGTCGGTGTTCCCTCCGCCTGCGTACTTCTCAGCCACAAAGTGGAGCTTCAACTCCCCGGCGGCATCGAAGAGCGGCGCCGGATCGAAACCGTCCTCGGGGCCGCTCGGCACGCTTGGGCTCCGCCCCAGGGCATCTGGGGCGGTGCCGAAAGAGGGAAAAAGGAAGCGTTCGGAGCTTCCCCAACCCATACAGTAAGATGGCGTCCGTTGGCCCATGTTCGAACTCAGCGGCCCGGCCTCGGTGACGCCCCGCTGCAAGGCGCGGCGCAGCGCGGCGCCGTTCGTGGGCGCCGCCAGGTTCGCCACGAAGCCGGCCACGCGCGAGTTCCGGGGGCGGCCGCCTGGCGGTGCAAACCGCCGCGCTCGTGGGGAAGGACGGATGCGGGTTGGGGGGGTGGGGCGGGGGGGCCCGCAGCAGTCATGGAGTTCGAACCCAGAGGTTCAAACCGGGTGTTTGCTGGTGGGGGCAGGTATCCATCTTGGAGGATGGGGAGTCTGAGAAAGGCTGGACCAGTGACGATGAATCTGCACCGAAAGCACCAAAATGTCAGAGGGATACTGAAGGGTTCAACCCGTGCGTGCTTTTCTTGACGGCGTGTCACGGGTAAATCGCGGGTCTATCACGGGTTCCGGCTTCTAGAACAGCACTTGACCCGGTGTTTTTCCCATTTATTTTGACAATATAATGGATCAAATCAGATCCTTCGAAGCCCCCTTCGAAGCCTTCGTCCAGGCCCTCAGGCTTCAAATGCTGAAGCCCCCTTCGAAGGCCAAAACTCTTAGACATATGATGGGCAGGAAATCCCGCTTTTCTCGTGGAAACCCTGTGTTTTGTCGCATGGAAGACCACCATGCTGGCCATGCGGTGCAAATCCTCCCCACTTATAGTAGCCCTTGTCTCATCCCCACATCTTTAGAATCTTCGCCCAGTCATACCAATACCATGTCATACCGTCATACCATACCTTCGCCCAGTCATCTCTTCGTGTTCCCCATTTTGTTCGTTGCGCACCCAGACAGCCGCACTGGAGTGACTGGAGTGATCGGTGATCGGCCGCACCCAAACAGCACCAGGCCTGGGGAGACAGGAAAGATCGCTACCTCCTCTTCTCCGGTGTTCCACTCGATGCCCAGGAGCACCACATCCCAACCCTGAACACCTCGGACGCGCCGCGACAACACGTCGCGCGACGCGTTCGACGTCTGATAGGAGAGGCTCCCTTTTGGGAGAAAAACCCGTAGGGATTGGGATCCTGTTCTTTCTGGAAAAATAGACTATATATCTACAATCAGGGATTCCGTTTCAGAGTCATTTCTGGCCAAGGTCCTTCCTGGTGATGGTTCCACTACAGTACACGTGTTCTTCCAAAAAAGGAGGGGCACGTGACTTGCCTTCCAAGGCCAGGTTCGTGAAGAAGCCTCATGAAGATCCGTGAAGAAGTGGCTTCTCCAGGTGCCACCCCACGCCCCGCTATCTGCTCCCAGTGGCCGAGCTGGTCCAAATGCCCTGGCAGCTCCTGGCAGAACTGAAAGCACGACCAGACTCTTGCGGAATGTCTAGACTGTCCAGATCCACCCTTCAGGGAAGGCATTCATGTAAGCTTCAGAAACATCTGAGATCAGTTGGTTTCTGCCTCAGCCAAGCAAGGTGTGCGTGTGTGTTTTAGATGCTGACAAGGAAGTCAGTAGTTGGTCGGATTTGTGTTCTTGTTTGCACCCTTCCAGTAACTTGCAGTGTGTCTTAAAGATCTTGCAGTAAACCCAAGACTCCAGCACATCCATGTCATTGCCCACTAAACTCGTCAGTCCGACAAACAAACGAAACGGCTCAACTTCAGCCTGTGCAGGACAATTGCAAGCCATCGAGCCGTTGCAAAAGCAGATCCGGACACAATCAAGAAACGAAGATGGCGACGTTGGAACGTTGGAACGTGATGCATGAAAAAAAAGACGACCGTCGTTCATGGGCTCTGCAGAGTTAAAAAATAAAAATGCAGCCTCTGTATGCCGTCGATAGGCGGTTGCTTAATCAAAACAACAGTTGAATTATGTTGAACTAATTTTGTTTAATTAGAAATGTATAGCGTTGTAAAAGCTCAGCAGACCTGGGGGCTTGCTTTATGAATGAAATAACCATCTATACATACATCACCTCCCTGTTCTTCTTTTTCTCTCTTCCTCTCCCACCGCCACGGCCCGCCGCACGGCGCCTCGCGCAGGCGGGTCATCTGAAAGAACTCCCGGTCCGTCAGGAAGAGCGCCTTCGACGAAATACCTGAAGGCGCCGAAAAGAACCGCGACGTGCGGTGCGTGGCGGCCGGGGCTGGTGGATGGTTCAAGCGGATGATGGTCGGATGATGGGCGACGTTCGTGGTTCAAGCAAGTCCTGTGAGATGGATTTTGTGAGGTCTCTTGATCCGGCTGTTCTGCCCACCAGTGGACCAAGGACCAATGATGTCTGTGCAGCGACCAGCTTTCCAAGTGGATCCCATTCCTTCCAAGTGTCGAGATGGAAAGACTTACACCATTATAGACCTGGAACCTGAATTGACCTTTATTTTGGATCATCAACCACCCAAAATATGGTCTTTTCGTATCAAAACAGAGCTTTACTGGGTTCAAGGTAGTTAATAGATTGTTAATAGTTTGAATCTCGCACAGTTCCTTTTCGCAGCAGCGAATCAGCTCAAGGGCCCTGTTCAGCCGAAACAGCAGCGACGGTGCATCAACTGTACGCAATACACCCTGGCTACAACAGCTGAAATTCACACCCGTCTTATCTACAGGTGTGTTGCGGGCTTTACAGTTCAAGTTGTACAAAGGCAGCCAAGCAACTCTATTCCCCGTGGGGCCGTAAACCATGCCATTCCATGTCGAATTCTCAAAACAAGTCAGGTGAGACTTCTTCATCTTTCTTCTTGGCTCCCTTCTCGCATGCGCCACTGTTCTCGACATTCACAAGGCCACTTTCCAGTGTCTTGAGGAGGTAGTCCGGCTTCATGCTCTTGGTTAGCGGGTCTGCCAATTGCTTCGATGTCTCAATCCACCTCAGGTGGTCACCATAGGGACTGTAGATCTCTGATGTTCTCTCGCCACTCACAGTCCATACCCCTTGCCTCAATGCGGCAAGTTCTATGCCAAGCCTCTTGTCTTGTACCTTTCTTGGAACTTCTGCCAGTAAATGGTCCGATAAGCTCCTGCAATCCGTGTAGTACACGTGTGCCATTCGCCTCTGGGTTTCTTCATGCCAGTTCTTGAAGTCATTAAGTCGTCCGGTCAACTCACAAATCAGGCATCGTAGGCGGTCTCCATGTTCGACTGCAGTTTGCAGAGCATATGCTTCTGCTTGCAATGTAGCACGACACACCCTTTTGAGGGTAGTTGAACCAAAGCTGATCAGATGCATTCTGTGACTGCCTTCCTTGAGGCTGCTCGCATTCGTTATGTAGTGAATGCGGCCTTGCTGACTCTTAAAGCCTTCTTCGTTTGCGAAACTTGCGTCGCTAAATGTCACAACTGCCAGATCGCTCCAGTCAATCCAATCACTCTTGAAGGTGATCTGCAAGTCACTTCCTTGAAGTGCCAATTCAACAACCTTGTTGGCGTTCTTCAAGTCTTGCACTGTTGCCTTTGCGCTACATGCACGCTGCATCTCATTCACACGGTAACAAAGGTCTGGTCTTCCATAACGGGCAACCCAAGCCAAACTACCAACAACGCTCCTGAGGCTTGTCAACTCCTTCTCTGTCACCTTTTCCGACAGCTTCCGATGCTTGTCGATTTCGATCGGCTTCACTGTTCTGCAGTTTTCACTTGTAGAAATGCTCACGGAGTAGTCCTCATGCTGTACGAACTGACGTCCGCAGTATCGGAACTTTCCCGATTCTGTTTTGCCAATCGTGAACCTTTTGAGTATACCTTCAATTGTCTTCTTGCCTTCGTCAAGGTAGCAATACAACAAGTCGTCGACATGTGTCGCGACCATGCCTATCAACTTTCCCTTGGAATTGTGCAAATAGTACAATGCAGGTGTAATGCGACTGCACTTCAACCCGGCACTGGTGATCTCACCATTCATCCTCAAGTAAAAACCTCTGCCTGCGTCGATCGTGCCATAGATCGGAAGGCGTGCAACTAACATTGCATCCGGTGGAACATCCGGGCTTGGAATTCCACCACGTGGCTGTTTGAGCAACAGCAACCTCGTCATAGGTTGACTTTGAAAATACGCTGAGGAAACATCTGCCGCATATAGGGTCACACGATGGCTTGATGCGAAGCTTGCAATCAACATGTGTCCTTCAGTCTCAGCAGTGGGGCTATCGCAACGAATACCCTGTGAATCACGGCTCACTTGTTCGTGATTTCCACAAGCTACTAACCGAGATCTGTTTTCTGGCCGATGTTCAGGCGTACCTGTCAGATGAGCTTGCTTATCCACATCTACCCATTGCATAGGAATAGGAACATGCCCTTCTTGAAGTAACTCCTCCAATTCCTTGCCTCGAATAGGCATTGCAGCATTGAAGCTCCTATATTTGCTCCACTCTGCACGACGTGCATCCAAGATGCGGGCTTGCATCTCGGGAGTGCATCGGTCGTATTGCAGCGTCTTTGCCACCTTGCCAACCTGCGTCTCACTGTTTTCTCCAAAGCGTTGAGCCACAAAGGCTCGAAACTCTGCAGCATCGAGTTCAGTGTCGTCAGCAGCGGCCATGGCGATCAACGGGTGTTTTACCCGTGTAAAGATTGTGAAACCTGTCCATGCGCGAGAATCAACATCATCCATGCCCGGCATGGACTCGCTGGTCATTCGACTTCCGTCTTCATAGACTTTTCTGGTTACGCGTCTTCCTCCGAATCCTTCCGGAACATCTCCGTCATGCAGCGGATGAAAGTCATGGAATCTCCTCTTGTTGCGAACACGAATTGCATGATTCTCAGAGATTCTCCAATGATCTTCATTGTCAATCATTGCGAGCATGACCTCATCATCACCACCAATGCCTCCGGGGGTCATCGGAACTGCGACTGCGCTTCCACTCGCGCTTGCAGATGATCGGGCAGCCTTGCCCGTCTTATCTTCTGCTTGTGCTTCTCTCTTTTGTCCCTTCTTAGGGCTTGCTTCTTCGTCCATCATTCGGATGTACTTCTGCTGTCCCAATGTCACTGCCTCCGGGAAGACTGGGATATTGTTCAAAATAGAGTAGGCCAAAGATTCACTCTCATTGGCTGATCTAAGTTTTCCGGCAGCACACAAAATAGGAATACCTTCATGTAGCAACCAGATGCCATTGTGCGGGTCGATGCCAATCACACGCGAAGCAGTGGACCACACGGTTCCACCTTGCTGTGTGTCTCGACGATAGACCACAAGGTCTCCAACCACAAATGACTTCTTGTTCTGGACTGCGGCATTCCTGGTCAATGCTCTTGCAACACGGGAACTTGTATCCAGATGGATGAATGCCTTTTGTGCAGCCATACGGGATGCGTGACACAAATGATAGCTTGCTGCAGGGTCAAACTTGTTCTCCAAGATGCCCAAGTTTCCTGCCTCATCCATATCTGTCACAGATCCTGGAATTCTTGGGTTCCTTCCCAGGACCCATTGTGCTGGAGAATAGCCTTGGACTCTTTGCATGTGATTCTTCACGGAAGTGCACTCGTGCAAACATGTTTCAAACGCATTGCGACCAACGGCTTCCATGTCATGGATGGTCTTCCTGAGAATTGCCTTCAAGATACCTTGGTGCCTTTCAACCTTGCCAATGGCTGAAGGGGTTTCCAATGGTGCATAGAAGATCTCAACACCGTGCGAAGCGAACAGCTTGGATACCTCACCTCGGTTGTGGACACCTCTATCCATGATTGCGGCCTTCGGAAAACCTGCCCAACTGATCCATCTGCGAAGGATAGCTTGTGCACAGGCTTCTGACGTTGGCATACCTCCACCTTCTTTGACAACCTCTGACAAATGGAATCCTGTCGAAATGTCTAGCATCGTAAGAATGCTGTACTTGCTTCCTGCATAGTCCTTCATTTCTGTGACATCAAGACCAAGCATGGCATTGAACTCATACTGGAAATTACTATTTCCTACCGGATGATCACGGGGACGTGGCGCAGTGTCTTCGCAGGACTGACAACGGACAAGACGTGCAGCTTCGATCAACTCCTTGCTTGCCTTACCTGCCTTTAAAATATTCTTCAAAGTTGACGGTGCGGGATGTCCGAACTGCCGATGCAAGCGACGAATTGCAATGCGAGTCCTCTGGGGGAGAGCACGCCACAGTCGTCTCCGTTTCTGTTCCGTCATGTCGGCTCCGGGCAATGCAAGTTGATCTAGCATGAGTTCTTCCTGTTCTCTTGCCGTCAACGGTTTTCCATCATCATGTTTGGTTTCCTGAAGAACTCCCTCAATGTCACTGTCCTCAATTTCAGAGATGTCTTCGAGTTCGTCTGCGACAAAACATGTCCGTGCAAAATGCTCCAAATAAGTTTCTTCTGACATGGTGTTCAACATCTCTAGGAGTCTTGCCGATTTCGCGTCTTCGAAACATTTTGGAATCATGTTCTCTCCGCACCAACCTTCCAGCGCCTCCAAGATCTTGGGGCTTTGTGGACCTGCCAAGGCAAACTCTAGGTCACCACCAAGGCAAATGGACTGTTCGACAGATATCTCGAGAAGTGGTGTGAAAAGAAGAAGGTTGCAACCATACATGTCGACTTCCATGAGCATATCATTCCAAATCCTCCTGGGGTCCGTGTTCTCCAAAAACAGTACAACCAAACCAGGGATCTTATTTGAAATGTGCTTGATGACCTCCTTGCGGGTCTTCACCCAGTTTGCACCTACATCGAATATCTTTGCACTCTGGGGTGCATTGATCAACATGTCATCCTTGACAATGACCATGTGTTGCACACTCAACGGGTTGTTCGAAACTAGTGCATGCAAGACTGAGTCATTCTCTTGCAAAGTCTGCAGGCCGGCGACAAACACTTGTTTTTCTCCTTTGTTCATAGTCCGGTGATCCAGAGCTACGAATGCGTGACCATCGCTGTCGGAGCTCAGCTCGATCTCCCCTTGGAACCTTGGAAGCGGCTCATGATGAACTTGTCTCGGTCGAGCACCTCACGCGAACTGGTCGGACGATCCGGAGTGCTTTGTGTACTCATGGTGACTACGTCATCGTCTGACAATTCCTCTTTGGGTGCGTTCGACAGATCGATAGCGGTGCAGCCATGGAACGGTTCAACAGGTTCAGCATC